CAGCCTGCTGCTTGTAGTTCCACTTGGAGCTGAGATGGGATGATAAGTTCAGCCTAGGATACTTGGCAAGACTGCCTCAAAATCTAAAAAAAAATTAAAAAAACAAACAAAAAAAACCCCAGAGAGCTGGACAGATAGCTCAGCAGTTAGGAGCTCTGGTTGCCCTTCCAGAGTCCCAGGATTAGATTCCCAGCACCCACATGGTGGCTCACAATCAAATGTAACTCTAGCTCCTGTGAGTATGATATCCTCTTCTGGTCTCCATGGGTATCAGGTGTGCAGATGGCAAACAGACATACATGTAGACAAAACACCCATACTCATAAACGACAACAACACCCAAAATCCATGTAATAGAGGGTGAAGGGGACTCAGAATATAGCTTGGTGGTAGTGTACCTGCGCAACATCCGTGTTCTCTGAGGTTCCGTCTCTAGTGTCACTGAAAACATAGACAGTAGCAGGCATACAGCTCTGACATACAACTCACACATCCTGTCCAACCTTTTCACACAGCCACAAAACTCTAGCAGGGACCTAGTGTGGGCAGCATGAATGGTGTGTGTGTGTTTGTGTGTGTGTGTTTGTGTGTGTGTAACACATACATGGGGGTTGGGGGGAGCGTGAGAGTGTGGTGAGGCCAGTGTTGCCATTTTGTTTGACCCACTATGAGCATTAACTGAGAAGCATTGCATGATACCAGTCTTACTCCTAGTCCCGTGTTCGAACATCTGGATTGAACATGCCAGTTAGGATCTGAATGTCACTGGACCGTGCACTAGATCTGCCCTGCTGGTGCTCAGAAGCTTGATTCCTGTTGGAACATCCTTCCCACGGGGTGACTGATTGGTCACTTTCTATGGCAGCCATTTTCATCCTGGCCCCTGTGCTCCAGAGAAGAGGGCTAGAGGGCTCTGTGAGAGGTCTCTGCAAGGTTGTTTTCTGTAACAGATGTTGACAGTTCCTGAATGCTCAACTAGAGTCGGGGACCCATAGGGCCTGTGTTCCCTGGAAGCATGACATGACAGCATCAGCGTTATGTGTCTTTGAGGGGATTGAGGCACAGGATGAATTCACATAAGAAGGTGGGGCAGAAGCACATGGGCCCATTTTTATGCTTGAAAAATCATATCCACACAGAAAAGAAAATGGAGCTCATAGCTTCTAATTACATGGACACCTTTCTCCTTTTTGTTAATCACATTTCTCTGTGTGTCTATGGGTTGATCTTACATTTTTAAAGTCAGCTCCCTGGTGTTTTCCATTTATATCCTGCCTTCTCTACAGCAGCCGACTGACTGTCCGTGCTCCTAGACACTGTGTGTCCTTCTCTACAGCAGCCGACTGACTGTCCGTGCTCCTAGACACTGTGTGTTGAGACCCTGCTCTGGATCCCTCTGCCACATCCGGGCACTCCTCAGACTTGGATTGGCCCCTCTCATCCTGCCATCCTCTGAGGTGTCATGTCTCTGGTCTCCCTCAGTCTCTTTTCCTGACCCTCCATAGCCTGGTTTTGTCAATCTAGTGCCTGGCTAATGGGTCCATTTCTCCTGAGTGAAGAGTTTACTCAGTGTTAAGTACAAGTACTGTTCTTTCAGAGGACTCAAACTTAATTCCCAGCACCCATGTTGGGTGTCTTATATCTGCCTATAATTCCAGCTCCAGGAGAGTCTCACACCTCCTGCCTCTGTGGGAAACACACACACAGAGGAGTGTGGACACCTCTCCCCAACGCACACACAAGTTAAACTGTTAAAAATAAATCTTGAAGCCAGGCAGTGGTAGTGCACGCCTTTAATCCCAGCACTTGGGAGGCAGAGGCAGGCGGATTTCAGAGTTCGAGGCCAGCCTGGTCTACAGAGTGAGTTCCAGGACAGCCAGGGCTACACAGAGAAACCCTGTCTCGAAAAACCAAATAAATAAATAAATAAATAAATAAATAGATCTTGAAGAAGATGGCTGCAGAGCATGGTGGCCCCTGCCTTTAAACCAGTAGGAGGCAGAGGCAGGAGGATCTCCCAGTTCTCCCAAGAGTTCAAGGCCAGCCTGGTGAACATAGTGAGTTCCAAGACAGTCAGAGCTGTGCAAAGAGAACCTGTCTCAAAAAAAAAAAGGGGGGGGGGGATTGTTTATGGAGGCCGACATCTCGACATCTCAGGGGCTGACTTTGTGCTTTCCCAGGCTGCAGCTCTTCTGCTCATCTAGACTGGCACCCCCCTGCCGCTGTGCCTTCCCTTGCAGTGCTTTCCCATCAAGTTCCAGGAAGTCTCCAGCCTTGTCAGAGCCTCTCTGGTCTAGCCTCATACCTCTCCCACTCCTTTGTATCTTGCCTTCTTTACAGTGGGTCCCCAACTCTAGTTGAGCCTTCTGCCTGGTCTCACTTCATCTAGGCAGAGTCCCCATGCTGCCTCTGCCCACGTGGCCTCTTCTCCTAGCCGCTAGCTTTGTTCACACATTCTTCTCCCTGAGCTTCCGAGCCCCTGTTAGGTGGTGTCATGTAGTGGGCAGTGTCAGAGAGAGTGAGTGTGCGTGCCTGTTTTTTCTCCCAGAAACAAAGACATTTGGTCAAGAGTAGGCATTATCATTCCTGTTTGAAAAGGCAGCTGAGGTTTGGAGAAGCATAGTGGCTTTCGATGGATGAACATGAAGGGAGAAGTTGGCTCTTATGACCAGGAGCTCAGTGTTAGTGACAACACGCTGCTCCATGTGACTGCAGTTGCCCAGGAGGATTGGACCACAGAAATGAGGGGGTCCCTGGCTAGCTGCAGTTCATCTCTGTAGACCCATATTCTCTTCTCTAGCACTCCCTGGATTTCCGAGAGAGCAGGGAGGCGGAGCCACACCCATTGTGGGAATACCCCTGCAGAAGCCTCTCTGAGCCTCAAGAGATCCTGACTTTTGATTTCCAGCAGCCCATCCCCCAACAGCCTATGCAATCCAAGGGCACGATGGAGCTGCGGAGGTGAGTGGAAGATGCAGGAGCTGTGGGGTGAAGACAGTAGGAGACTTAGCAGTCACACAGTGGTGAAGGACAAAAGGCCTGGAGACTCTTAGCTCCTGGGAGAGAATGTGTGCTTCCATCCTGTCCATCTTTTGCGTTATAGGGGGAGGGGGTGTTCCCACAGCCTCTGGGTGTATGCTGGTGAAGGAGAACTAGGGTGAGCCTTGCTCACCTTCCCACCTGCAGCCCCTAGTGTCAAGCTGCAAATATGACTTTGGTTACTATGGTTACCCACTGGCCCATTCTCCTGAATTCTCTTGGGAGTTAAAGCGGGTCAGGATTGGTGAGGCTACTTGCCACTAGGTGTGGGAGACCCCACCCAGCTCCAGCTCTCCTCAGTAGAGTGCCACCTTCTACTGAGGGAGCCATATCAGAGCTCCAAGCACTTTTAGCACCAAGGACAAGCAGCGAGGGCGGGGCAGATGGCACTGTCCAGGGAGTCTTCATTGTCAGCCCCTGGGCACAGGGGCACAGCTGTACTCAGAGGCTTCTGTGCTCAGGCTGTGAGGAACGTGGGTTTGAGAGCTGCGGCTGCTCTGGCTCGACTGTTCTGTCTAGCCTTTACCAACATGAGCAAGGAACCATAAACTCCTAACTTGGAGGGATGGGACTGGTTAAGGTTCAGAAAAGCAGAAGGGTGTGCTGGTTGGACTCCTCCGTGTCTGTGTCATATGACTGTTTGGTTCTATATTCCCTCCCAGACCCGGGAAGAGCCATGGGGCTGTCCTGTGGATGGAATATCAGCTGACTCCTGACAGCATGGTCAGCACCGGCCTCATGAACCCTGCAGAAGACAAGGTAGTACCCAGAGTGTGTCTGCCCTAGAGCCTCTTGTACCCCTTGTGCTCTGAATATCCCTGTTCAGGGCAGATAGCTCCCAGGTGGCCCAGGTTATTTGCCACTGTTAGTTACATGTGCTGGGGAGGTGACCTGGGAGCCTGGGACCCTTCCCATTCCTTTGCTGTTCATCTTGCAGGGGGACTGCTGCTGGAACCCCCACTGCAAGCAAGCTGTATACTTCCTCAGCACCACACTGGATCCCAGAGTGCCTCTGGATGGCCCTCAGTCAGTCAGCTATGCTGTGGAGTTTCACCCCCTCACTGGAGACATCACCATGGAGTTTAGGCTTGCAGACACCTTGAACTGATCTCTTACTGAGAAATAAAATGGCCAGCAGGCTGCAGACTAAATGGCTCATGGCTCAGTGGGGAAGGAAGGCCAAGGAACCCGTCTCCTTGCGTGCACCTCCTTGGCATTGCACAGCATCGGGTGTGGCAGACAGCATAGGCTGGTGAGTGACTGAAGAGTTCTGAATTAACCAGGGAGACCAGTTGGTGATCCTGAGACTTTAGAACGCCCTGGGACAGTAATGCTTCTGTTCCGCCTGGAGGAGGACTGAGGAGCAACTTCATTAGGACAAGTGCAGGACTGCCCACTGAGCTGGAACCTACCTGGCCTGTCTCTGGCCTTCTAGGGAGTTCCCTGGGGCTTCGTGACACTTTTAGGGTCTGGTTTGATAGGACTAGGATACCCCAAATAGCTTTACCAAGCCACATTCATAAACATTTGGGTATCTGGCCTCAGTGCACACCAGCAGGTGCCCACCTTGAGACCCAGATGCCAGGCTGCTCACAGGCAGGCCAGGGAAGAGGCCGTCGTCAAGCAGCTCGCTGTGGGAAGCCATGGAGAGAAACTAGGACAGTGGCTTTCTCCTGCCTCATCTGTCTGAAGGCCCTTGCTATGATGGCCTAGCCTTGCTGAGGCAGAGAGTGCAGAGATTCCCAGTTGGCCACAGGCTTGTCCCACCTCTGCGCACCCATGTGCTTGCTAGTGACCTCTCAGTTCTGAAATGATCTGGGAGGGCTGAGTAGTTGAACCAAGATGGCAGACATAGGCTGTGTGCTCAGTCATTTCCCAAAGTCCCTAGACTGGAATCAGCTCTGGAAATCAGCAGGCTCTCCCCAGTTTACCCTGAAAATAAGGACAGAACAAGACACCGGTCTTGAGCCTCACAGTTTTATTTTCTCCTTGTTCTCCGTCCTTCCTTTCAGCACCATAAAGGAAAAATCCACCTCTTCTCAACTTTTTTTTTTTTTTTTAAATCAGGCATAAAGATTGTTTTTTCTTCTAGGGAAGAATCGTCTGGATATATATTTGATAATGTTTTACCAAAACCTTGGGTGTCTTACCATATAAAACCCCTAATGTCCCATGAGGATACAATACAGAAAAAAATACAGAAATTAAAAAAGTTTCTTCTTTTTCTTTTAAAACAGTATTTCTAAATCTGAGCAAGTTAATACAATAGTTAAAAAGCATTAAGGTTAATATTCATACTTAAAACTCCAGGTGGTTTTGGACAAATAAAGATGAATTGAATGGTCCTTCCTAAGCTAGTACACTTATCTATTCTTCCCTTGAGAGGTCCTGGGCAGGTAGAGCCAGTTAGGATTCAAGTGATCCCTGTGATTGCCCCTGTGTCGGCCGTAGATGTTACAGAATCTGGAATCCTGGCAACGTCTCTTCTTTTTTAAAAGCTGAAATAGAAAGGCTTGGCAGTACACGAGCCCTGAGTCCACAGGCAAGCAAACCACAGTGAAATGTGTGGCAGATGGTCATGGCCTCGGTGCTGAGATGTGTAGGGGACCTGAGGGCAGGCTGTCCCTCCTCTGGACTCCAGAACCTGACTGTAGAGGTGACCTTGTAATAACAGAGGCATAGGGCAGTACAGCTTGCCTAAGGCCGCCCTGGGAGTTGGGAAGGAGAGAAGGATGCGGCTCTGACTCCAAACGGTTTACCCTAACCCCAGGTTTAGGGACCATGGCCTTGCCATCGGCCTCATTTACTCTCCTTGTACACAGTGCCATTGGTTTAAGGATTAGGCCTGCCCACTGGTACCTTGAATGAATAGAATCCTCTCATACCATGAGAGCTTCCCAGATTCCTGGGAGGCCAGGCCCTGGCAGAAGAGGGGCACAGCAGAGAACCCAGCAAGGCTGTCCTAGCTCTGGACACTGGAGCATGGGCAGGATTCTCTTAGGCCAAGAGGTTAAGAGGCCAGTGTCACCAGCTATACATGCCCTAATATCAAGCTGCCCAAACTCTGAAAGACCACCACTCAGCACAGGGCCCGACATCTGTTAAATGCGTGCCCTTCTGGATCCTGCTTGCTACTTAGTGGGTGACAAGGCACAGCTTCAGGGCACCAGCATTTTAGAGGTCCCAGCAACAAGGGACTGATGCTTCCTCCATCGTCACCAGGCGGAGTTGGCCTTGAGCCAGGCCAGATACAAGATCAGAGCACTTAGAATAGACCATCGGGGATATCAAAACAGTCCCCCAAATTAGTAGCTCAGCAGCCTGAGACAGACATCTTCCCTTTGTAGTCAGGGATCAGCCTCTGTTCTCTGAAGGTAGGTCGGCAGAGTCAGTGTGCTCTTGGGCACCTGAGCAGGACCAGGTGGAGAGCAGTGGGCTTCTAGCAGCCTTACTGTGTTGAGCTTGGGGATGGCTGTAGTCACACAGTGGCAAGAGTGGCTTCTGGATGATGTCTGGAATCAGCCCTGCCCTAGACAAGCAGTGGCTGTTGGCTGGCCACCTGAGCTTGCAATGGTGAAGAAGCCATTCTCTATATCTTGGTTTTCTGCCACTTCATCTAGGGTAGCCATTGAGGAAGGGAGGGCCTGGGAGGCCAGAGGCGCAGCCTGACTTAGGGGCAGGCAGGTGGTTCCTGAGCTCAGCCATCCACGGATGAGGGAAGTCCTCAGGAAGAGGTTAACCCAGGGGGCCCCATAGAAAAGGACATGTTGGGTAGGAGAGAAGGAACTACGAACCTGTCGTTTTCAAAATCAGAACCCTCCCTCTTATGTTCTGGGTCCCCTTCGTGTACAAAAGTGATGCCCTCTTGGGTTTCCTGGTAGGGTCCCACAGCTGGTGTCAGTCTCCTACAGGAGCTGCTGGGGTGGCCAGAGCCAGCTGGACCCTGCTGTGTGGGCTGGGGAAGAGCACAGTTCTACCCAGTGACTTACAGACCCTAAGTGAAGGGTGATTTTGTGTTTAACATTTTCTGTTTTCTTCTTAAAATGTAATCGCCCTTGAATGCAAGACCCTGGGAAGAGCCCTGGGCTGGCAGGTAATGACAGCCGTCAGTCACTCCCCACCAAGCTGGAGGGGGGGAAAGCTGGCAGCTGTGCCCAGGAAGTGCTTCTTTGGCTGGTTCTGATTGTGTTTTTGTGTTTTGAGTTTGGCCTTAGGTGAGGCCCGAGCAAGGGGTCTGGGTGCTACAGTGTGGCACATGGCATGCGGGCAGCGGGCATGCGAGGGTGCAGGCATGCGAGACAACATTGGCAGCAGACAAAGGTAATGAACCCTGGACAAAGCTTGAGAAGAGATACAAAGAGTACATAAACCCGGTCCTCATACTAACCCTTGGGTTACAAACTATGTTGTGCTGTGTATTTCTGTAGAAAATCGTGACTGGAAAGAATGGCACTGGTCAGGCAGCCAGGGGCTCCCAGGCTGGCCCGAGTCCTCTGTTCGCAGAGATGGCCAGAGGCACAGAGCAGCCTGGCTTCCAGGCTTGCAGGGGATTGATGGGCTCGCTCTTCCCTGTCCCCTGCCCTCCTTCCCCCAGCACTAGGTGCTCAATGGAGGGCACACAGCCCAGACATGAACTGTGGCTTGAAGGGCTGGCAGAGGCCCCACTGCTCGAGATCAGTGGCATGGCTGGTCTATGCCTCCTCTTCCCCTGCAGACACCATCAGCCGCATGGCCACGGGGAGGTGGTCGGTCAGGCCGGACAGCTGGGTGATAAAACTGAATTCTTCCACCTCCTAGGTTGGGGAAAAGAGGTGGAAACATTCTGATTAGATCCAGAGAGAGGGTGTTCTGTGAAGGGGAGTCCTGGGGCGGGAGGTTCTAGATGTAGGGCTAAGGGGCTCGGGGTGCGCTGAAGATTTCAGGCTGTGGGCATGGCGGAGTTCATTTTAAGGGAGCACAGACTGGGGATTGGGTTCAAGTACTGTACACGGCTGCAGGGCCAGCCTCCAACTCACAGCCTTCCAGTCAGGGCACAGCCCCTCCTCGGCGTGCAGCATGTAGTCGATGCGACGGCCATTGCCCTTTAGCACATCCTTCCGGCCCTTCTGCCCAGCCCCTGGGCTCTTGCTGGTGGGGAAGGCCAGATACTCCCTGCGGCCTTCCTCGCTCTCCAAGACCCTGTCATGCGGAAAGGAAACAAGCTAAAGTCCTGTGCCAGCCCTGGCCTGTGGAGCCAAACTCTCCATAACATTTGAAGGGGAGACCAAACCTCTGGGTTTTAGACCTGCCGGTCCTCCACCATCCATCACAGGTTGCCTCAGGCTAGCTGGTTTCCTGGTCCCTATCTGTACTCTTGATACTAGTCATGACATTCCTGGCTTGTGGTCGTGTTGGGAATACCCTTCTCCCAATCTCTTCTCTTTTGAGCCAAAAGCAGCTTGTTTAAGCCTCAGGGGCCTTCTTTTCTGGAAGCCCCAAGACTGTAAGATTGGCAGGGGCTACTGGAACCAGAAAAGGACTCCATTGGAGGTTTCAGCCATTTTATGAGTGTGTCCTTAAGAAGCAGTCACCATCAGCTTGTCACCAAACTTCTGAGTGCTATTTCCTTTGTAAAATGAGTTGTTGCTATGGCCCCTGGTTTGGGGGAGTGTCCTCAGAGCCAGGAAACTCATGGGGTGTCTACATGCCTAACACAGTTCCTTCTAGCTTTTCCCGAGAGCCCAGGCAGCCCTAGGAGAGCTGAGGAGCCCTGTAGGCCATCACCAAGAGCAGGCTCAGGCCAGGAACTGGCCTGGGAGACACTGGCCAGGCCTCAGGGGGTTAACACTGGATAGATTTAAGTCCCTGGATCGACCAGGCTGGTAAACATGGTTTTCTACAGGTTTTTATCAGCCTTAAGATAAATACTAATGACATTCAGAGCATTGTTAACGGCTCAGAGATATAATCCATTACTGTCTCTTGCTTTGATGATTAATTCTAGCATCAGTGATCTGAGAGTTACTAATAGTCATTTTTTAATCATCATCTCATGAAAAGATAATATGCTCAGCATAGGATGATGTTTCAAATTTAGTCTATAATCTAATTAATTGGCTCAAATTAGCTTCAAGGAGCCATGGCAGTGGCTCTGTACATTATCGGGCTGTGAATTATAAATCCATTCTGCTATTGGCCTTTCCACTGGATCCTTTAAGGAAGGGTCACTGGGTTCAGGATGGAGCTGGCCAAGTAGAACTGCCTTTCAAGACAGCGTGTGTGTTCTCCACGCATGTTAATCTGTCTAGTAGGTGGGTAGAGGCCATGGGGCTCCCTTCTCCACATACCCCTTACCCAGAAGCTCTCTAGGGCTTGGCCCTCAACCTGATCCTGGAAATTCTTGCTTCTTTTCCTACCTGAGCTATACTCAACAAGAGCCTTTTTCAGTGTGAGTCTAGATTCTGACTGTTGGCGTAGGATTGTCCCTTCCAGACTCTATAAGCCTCTGAAGTGTCTAGTTAGGGAAGTGATGACAGCTTCCACCCAGCTGCTCTCTCTCCTGTGGAAGGGCTTCCTGACACACAAAAGCCCTTAGTGGCTTGAGTGAATTGGCCTTCCTGGAACCTGTTTAGTCCCCATCTCTCTGCAATCTAGTAAGGGCTTGCTTGATTCCTTGTTAATGCCTGGCAGCTGGTTAGGATCGGGGTCCCTGCCACCCTTCAGCAGTGAGAGCACTTACTTCTGAAGGTTGTCTGGGGTACACACATCTTCATCATAGAGACCACTTGTGTCCAGCAGGGTGCCTGGGAATGAACAAAGGAGGAGAGTGGTGACTGAAGCAGGGTCTAGCCAGCCTCAAGGGCGGCCTCCATAGAGGGATTTGACATCAGGACCTTAGGGGGCCTCTGTACAGCCCATAGTGAGCCCAGCCCCCTGCTTACCAATGGCCCAAGGCTTTTCCTCCCCAGGCCCCAGGCGGCAGGGGTCCTTGTAGCGAGTAAACAGTGAGTGCTGCTGTTCCAGTTTGTCATCTGTGTGGGAGGAATGGAGAGAGGAATACTATGTGGCTAGAGGCACCTGCTGTCGCCTGGTTCCTGCCAGTTACTCCTACTGTAGGCCACTAAGTTCCTATCTTAAGGAAGCACTCTAGGTTTATGGTTCTTTCGATGGTCTCATAGTTGGCACTGTGGGTCCATCTGTCACTGGTTCTCTATATCCTCAGGGTGTGCTCCACACTGATCTCTGTCCTCCGAGCCTTCCCACAATCCATGGCGAATTGTTTGTAGGGCCTGGATAATGATGCAGCCAGGACCCAGGACCAGGTTACTGTGGCCTGGGTAATGCTGCAGCCAGGACTCCTGTTCTCTACAGATCTGGATGTTTGGCTCTTGGAGAGGAGTTGATAACACATGGCTCAGAGAAACATGTGTCCTGCCAACTCACTGGACCAGTAAAGTTTTTCTTTGACACACACCCTGACCCCCCCAGGCTAGAAGAAAAGGATTCCTAGTAAGAGCCCCTCCGAAAGCCTCTTCCTATATGTGTTATGCCAAGAGGGCCATGACCAAAACACAGACACCTGTGCTGGAGCAGGAGTTTCTGTGTTGGGTGTGACAGCCTTGGTGTGCCACAGAAGAAAGTCATTCTGTGTTGGTGACTGTGTGTCCCATGGTGGGGACTGCATTCTCCTTGCCCATCCTGGAGTTGCCACTGTTGTTGATTGATGCCTTCCTGGCCATGAAAGGTTATAACGGCTTTTACCTGCTGCCACCAGTTGAGGGCACCATCCTGGATTCCAGGTGAGACCTTGAGCGTTCCTGCTCTAAGGGTGAGGCCTGAACTCACAGGCTCCTTGGGGAGCTGTAGCTCCTGCCAGAGCATCAGAACCATGAGGCTCCCAGGCCAAGGAAGGCTCAATGCTACTCCTACCTCAGAGGAGGTCTTTGTAAGAATAGATTTAAACCAGGTGTTCAAAACTTCACAGATGATTGACTTTTCCTATCCTAAAAGGTTTGATTGCTGTTTATTTCTTGAAACAAGGACTCATGTAGTCCGAGCTGGCCTAGAAATCACTATATAGACCAGGCTAGTCTTAAACTTGAAGCAGTCCTCCTGCCTCTACCTCCCATGTACTGAGACTTAGGGCAATGGGCCACCATACCTAGCATAGCCCAATAGTCTAAGCCAGTAGCTTTTTGTATTTAAAATATCTATGAGTATGTGTGTGTGTGTGTGTGTGTGTGTGTGTGTGTGAGAGAGAGAGAGAGAGAGAGAGAGAGAGAGAGAGAGAGAGAGAGTAAGAGGGAGAGAACATGTGTCACAGCAAACATGGGAGGTCACAGGACAGTTTTTGTGCAGGTCAGTGCTTTTGCCTGCTGAGCCAGCTTTTAAATATTTTTATCCATTTTATTTCACATATATGGCTGTTTTGCCTGCATGTATGTCTATGTACCACTGTGTCTACAGAGCCCAAGAGATGGCATTGACTTCCCTGAAACTGAAGTTACAGACAGTTGTGAGTGACCATGTGAGTGATGGGTATTGAACCCGGGTCCTCTGCAAGAGCAGCCAGTGCTCTTAGCCACTGCGCTACCACTGAGCCATTTTCCTGGCCTAGTTTAAGCCAGTATTATTGGAATAGTCTCTCTTGCCCTGGGTCCATTTTGGGGGCATCTCTTTGTCTCCAGCCAGAGGCCCCTGCTTCTTTGGTAATGTATGTCTTATCCCTATGCTTGGACTTAAGTGTGGGACAGACACTTGCTAAATTTCTCACATACAATACATAAGGACTAGAAGTTCTTCAAGCTACCTAATTGTGCCCTGTGACTGTGCCTGGAGCCTATGTTCTTCTGCCTGGAGCTTCAGACCTGAGAGGGAAAGAGTGTGGCCTCACCAGAGGAGCAGTTATCAAAGTTCAAATCTCCACAGATGACGTCAAACACCACCAGCTCCTCGGGGTTGGCTGTGCTGGTCGAGGAGGTAGATTTTCGGAAATCAGCCAGCCAGTCCTGAAGCAGGTCCAGCTGCTCACACCGGATGGCACTGTCCTCTGAAGACAGGATAGAGATCAGACTGTGAAGTTTGACCAGGTCCCAGGTATTGAATCCATACCCAGAAACCCCCGGGCTGTGGCCTACCTGGTGGGGCATGCAGGTGTGTGCAGGCGATGTACCCAACAATTCTTTGGTCCTGAGGTGTGCTTCCCACCTGCACCTGGGGGAAGACAGGATGTCAGTACTGCTATTAGCCAGCCATTGTCTCTGTAAGTGCAAAGGGCAACATCCAAAGCCTTTTGCCCAAGCTGTCCCCATCCTGCTCTGCCAGACTCCTGGTTAGACTCTGGCTAGTGCCCAGGTGGAGGCAGGGCATGCTCTGCTTCCAGAAGTTCTGGCTTATTATAAAGGCAGATTCGTAAAGAAAACATCAGGCTGTGGTGTCACCTGGTTATCAGCACTCTGTGCAATGATTTATGGGGGAAGGAGGGAACTAACAGGTCACAGGCAAATAAGTCCTTGGCATTGTCAGGGACTGGAACATCCACCTACGTGACTTTCAGGTTTTTTGTTTTTAGCCGGAATCTTGATATGCAGCCCTGGCTGGCCCAGAAACTTACAGCAATCTTCCTGCCTCTGGATCCCATGTACAAGGATCATAGGTGTGTGCCATCATAGGTGTGTGCCATCATAGGTATGTGCCATCATGCCCAATCTAACCTTCAGTCTTTTTAATATTATCATCAGTATGCAGCCCCCACCCCCAATTTTCCACCAAAGCCAAAACTGGGGTTGCCTAATGTAGGTGCTTGGGTTTCTAACTCTGGTCCTTATGATAAAGCAATAGCTGCTCTCAGCCGTGGAGCCGTCGTCTCCCCCCTTTAGTCTCATATACTCTCAGTGACTGTCCTTCCCCCTCTGACCACACTCTCAACCGGACCTCCTATCACCCCTCCAATTTGAATTCAAAGCCACAACCCATTGAGGGGCCTTGGAAAGCCTCCTGCTAGTATGTCTTTAAGGCCCATCTGGCTGTATGGTTCATTACTTCATGAATTTTATGGGAGATGGTCTTCTAGCCTGCGTCCCCTGTTCTGAGCCCATGACATGGGCCAGACTCTCCTGCTCTCACAGTGGCACCTTCATGCCTCCACTTCTCCACCCTGACCTCTTCTTCACTAGGGCATTGTTACATTGGGTGAGCCTGGCTCAGCAAGCAGGTGACTTTGGCAGACCATCTCTAATTTTTGCTTCATAAGAATGGGCATCTTGCCGGGCGGTGGTGGCGCACGCCTTTAATCCCAGCACTTGGGAGGCAGAGGCAGGCGGATCTCTGAGTTCGAGGCCAGCCTGGTCTACAGAGTGAGTTCCAGGACAGCCAGGGCTACACAGAGAAACCCTGTCTCGAAAAACCAAAAAAAAAAAAAAAAAAAAAAAAAAAGAATGGGCATCTTAATTGTACATCCCAAAGACATCGAAGCTGCTCCTCCATATGTGTAACCCAGGAATGAGCGCTTGTCAGTGCTGTAGCCCTGGAGGGAAGAGAATACACAGCCCCTCCCCTCCTGACCCCTTATCATTAGCTGCTGGAGTCCTTCACCTGCATACTCCTCAGGGACTATTGTGGGCACCTCTCCTCAGAATCTACATCAATAACACATATTTTTATGTGAGCACCAGCTGCCCCCCAGACTTCATTAACCCATTCCAGTTGGGCTTCCTGTGTTGATGAGCCCTCAGACCCAGGCACTTCCCAGGGAGGTGGACCACAGAAGCCAAGCTTCATTCTCAGTGGCCAAGGACACGGCAGTGGCCTCTCAATGTTCTGTTGCTGCTGAACTTGAGTGGGTCTTCTTCCCTACCTGGCTTCCTCAGCTCTGTCCCCTGGATTTCTCCAGCTCCACCTTCCTCCCCCAGCATGCATGCCAGTCTTTCTCCATGCCTCTGTCTGGCTATTTGATAACAGGCTTTCTTGCTGGACTTAGGCTGTTTCTAACTTACACGTTCAGTTCTTGCCCATATACCAGTCCCATAGTGCAGCCATCTCACACTCGTTCTGGGAATTAGTCTTGTAAAATTATGGACCACTGTTATTTCTTGTTATAAAAGCACATGTTTAAGAATGCAGTGCTCGATGGGCAGTGGTGGCACATGCCTTTAATCCCAGCACACCTTTAATCCCAGCACTTGGGAGGCAGAGGCAGGCGGATTTCTGAGTTCGAGGCCAGCCTGGTCTACAGAGTGAGTTCCAGGACAGCCAGGGCTACACAGAGAAACCCTGTCTTGAAAAACAAAACAAAAAAAAAACCAAAAAAACAAAAAACCAAAACAAAACAAAAAAAATGCAGTGCTCAAAGCAGCCTATGATACCTCCCTGCCACTCCTATGTGTTCCTCAAGCAACAAGTTTCTCCCACTGTAATCTTAAGCCATGGACGCTTAAACTTAGTGCTTCCTCATATGTTCAGAGTGTACCATTTCATGGATGGGAACACTAAGGCTCACAGCACTCAGATGGGCACGTGTTAGACCTGTTGGCCTCTGGACGATGCTTTCTGGGCTGCTGGTATCTTCATCAAGATCAGTCACCCATTTGTCAGGCTTTCCCTTAGTATCACTTGCCCTGTGCTGACAAAGGACAGGACAAAGGCAACCCTGCCGGCCCTGAAGCAGAGAAGCACCATCTGGGGTGAGGATACCATAGTAGCAAGGCCATACTTGCCTCTCACATATCCTGACTCCCTCTTAACAGGTATGTGATCTTGGTAGCATGCAATTTATTATTTGCTGGGACTCAGCAATTCCAAACATAGTGTGTCCTCAGGACCTGCACAGTCATGTGTGTTTCTCTTACAAAAACAGTCACACTGAGAGGCCCTTTAGTTCTGTTGGCACAGAATGTTGATTAAAAAGGTGTTCAGAATTAGCTGTGCTGAGCTGAAGCCAAAGGGAACCCAGCCCTTCCTTCGTGGGGGATGTCCATTTCTTCAAGGGATCCATGAAATAAGCTAGGAGACAGCGACCCAGTGAGGGTTGTGGCAGAGGGAGGGATGGACTGCTGGCCGCATCCTCCCGGAGTCCCCAGCTCCTCTCCAGATGGGTCTGACAGGTCTGTGGCAGGAGAGTCTTACCCAACAGGGCCTGGCTCTGCCCCCAAAGGCAGCATCTGGCTGGACAAATGTCCCAAAAACACAAGTGCTCCTGAGCACAGAGTCAAGGAGCCCACGAAGAGAGGACTGGCTTGTGTTTGGCAAGACTAAGAGCAATAGAGCATAGGGTGTGGAGGCCCCTCTGGGTGGTCTGGGAAGAGGGGAACATGGGCTATAGGAAATGGGGAATTGAAGCAGTAAGAAGTCAGAAAGGAGGAGGAGGCCTCACTGGGCTTGGTCAGCCAGGTTCACAGAGGGCAAGAGTAGAGGAGTGCAGCACTAAGATGGGGAGGTTGGAAGCAGAGGCAGTTGAAAGTAAAAGGAAGAATCTGGGATAGACGAGCAGACACAAGGTGCAGCCAGGGTGGCTTCAGCATAGGAGAGCTTGAGTGAGGACAGCAGGACATGCTCAGCTCCAGGAGTCAGCCAGACTCAGGCATGCGCTCTGGGGAGAGGGAGGTCTAAGCTCTCTGGGGAGAGAAGGACAAGGATGAGGGTTACCAGCAAAGACAAATGGAGATCACACTTCCTTGCCGACAGAGTTGAAAATAAGAGACCCTGAGAAGTAAGGAGCTGACTACATGCTTACCCCAACCTTCGGCTGTATGAAAATGTGTCAGCCCTGTCAGGATGTTAAGAGGTGTTGCAAATCAAGTTTAATACAAAAATCGTACTGGCCAGCTTTAAAAAGGTTTGGAGTGGCATGGATCAACATATTGGCCAACTAGTTTGAAACTTATGAGGTAAAGGGAGACAAAAAAAACATTAATAATGGAGACACAGAGGAGAAGCTGTCCCAAGAAGCTGTGGATTGTCCTGCACTGCACGTCTGTGGACAGCTCCAGGCTCACAGCATCTCTCTCTGTCCACTTTGAACTTGACACATCCGCTTCCTTTCCAGAAGGCCACGCTGGCTACCAAGACAGAAATACATCTTCAAATACAACCCAAATGAACTATATGTCAGAATAGGAAGGAACTGGAACTGTCTCAGATGACCTGCATCTCTGTGACTGGAGAGCTGGTAGAGTCATGCAAGAGGCCTCGAGCAGCCCAGGGTGAGGCATCTGAGTGCCTGCCTTACCTCTAACAGACTCGGTGGAATCAATGTACCCTTACTCCCAGCAGGCATTGACCCAGCATTTTCCTGCACAGATTGGAACTGAGAATGAGAGAAACCTGCCCTGGGCTATAATTGGGGTCCCTACCAAGCAGCCCTTCAGTCAAGTCTCACCAGCAGAAGAGCTGCTGCCCCTGAGGCAGAGAGCCCCATCTGCATCAGACCACCAAATGATGCTTCAGAAAACTCTCGATTCACTTAACAGTGGCTTTTAGATAGAGAACAAAAAGTCGACACAGTATTTCAGGCTCTCTGGAAGATAATGTGTAATGACCAAATTACTATGGTCTAAAACCTCCTCCAACTGCATCCAAATTAGCAGAAATAATTATGGTTCACTTTAATTAGTGACTATGAAGTGAAGCCAGGGGCTGATGGGCAGAGAGCCTGGCATGGCAGCTGCTGACAATGGAAGTGGGGGGGCTGTCCTGGCCACTGAAGCATCAGTGGCTGTGGTTTTGGCCTGGACACCTGAGAGCCTACACACTGGCCTGCACTCTAGTCTGCTCTGGTCTCTGCCCTGTGTGAATGGAGACGGGGCTTGTTTCCTCACCACCGCTATGGTCACCACATTCAGGACAAGCAGCTCTGGATCCTGTCTGGGCCACACAGGCCACTCCCACTACACTTTGCAGAGAAGTAAAAGTGACTCAGAACTGAGACTGGCCCAGATCCCTCAGCCCGAGCCCGTACGGTCGGTACGGGGCCCCGAGTTCAGGGCCATGAACAGCTTTGCCTCCTAATTCATCCCATAAGGGGAGTGAGGATTCCCAGGGAATAAGGGTTGGCAGGGGCTGTGCCCTACTTTGTTATGTGGCTTAGGGACAGCCAGTGTGTAGCCCTCAGGCGGGGCTGAAGATGCCTACCTTGAGAAACAGAGCTCCCTTAGAGGCCAGGGCATCGAAGCTGCACCCATTGGGGTAACAGTGATAGGCCACGTCCATGACAGGGTAGCGGCTGGCAAAGAAGAGACCGCTGTTGAGACATTTGAAATTGCAGCAACCGTGGCAGCCGTAGACCCCGACGTCATACAGGATGTACTCGAAGTAGCCATGTAGCTGCTCTTTCAACTTAGCAGCTGCACGCTTGTCAAACACCTCCTGCAGGCACAGGAAGTCCAGATTGGCTGGGAAGAAGGCCGAGACCTCATGGTCAAAGGCTTCATCAGGGTGGCGCCTCCTGCGGGCTGCCTTCTTCACCACAGAGGTCTTATACAGCAGCTTGCTGTTACCGCCTGGCTCTCCGCTGCCACATACGTCTTGCCCAGCTCGTGCCTTCACCAAGGACTCCCTGGAGGCTGAGGGGCTACCCAGGCTCCCAGAATCCCCATCCCGCTGATTGTGGTTGGGCGTCTGGCCCTTTGGGGTCCCACCAGACCCATTCCTGGCAGTGGCAGGGTCATCAGCTTCCTGAGGCCGGCCTCCGTCCTCACCACCAATTCGCACAATGCAGCTGTCCTCAAGGCTTCCATCAGCCTGTTCCCCAGAGGCTGGGCCATTGGCAGCCTCATCGCTGGTGTGACGCCCACCATCCCCCTTGTATTCCACAGAGGCTGTCCTCTTAATGCTCCCAGGAACAGCTCTGGCTCCGTCACTGCCCTGCGGCGACACCAGGCTGCTGAAGCTGGCTGCACTGATGGAGGTGTTGGTGGGAGAATCAATGTAGATTTTGATCTGAGGCCGGGCGGCCCCATTGCGGATTCTCTGTCCAATCTCTTTGGCCCGTGCTTGGGTGTTGAACACATTGTTGAGCCTTGCAAGTGAGTCAGGGAGGAGGCAGACATTGGCCGTGGCAAAGCAAAAGCTTTTGCCAGCCCCTGTGCCCTTCCATTCACTAAGCAGGGCTGCCCCACCAGCTGGGCTCTTGTCTTCTAGCCGGGAGTAGGAGTAGGGCCGGCGGGCAGACTGCAGTGGAGACCAGAAGATGAACCCAAGAAAGGCAAAAGGCAGTGCAGCCACAAGCAGAGCCAGGTAGACTGGCGTGAACAGTACAGTGCAGAACAGCTGCAGGCAGCAAGGGTCATCTGCCCTCTGGCGCTTCTCATAGGTGGTGGGTATGAAGGAGGCCACCAGCCGGTCCACCAGCCAGTAACATGGGAAGATGAGGGCCCAGGACACAGCGTGGAGGGCGGACAGACAGCTATTAGGAAAGGGGGTCGTGTACAAAACCATTGCAGCTCACTGGGCGCCGCAGCCGGCCCTACTACATGGTGTCCGTGGCAGCTGCAGCACTTTCCCAGGCAGGGGGCGGTGGAGGAGGGAGGGCAGGTCACCTCCTGGCGAGATGCGACTCTGGACGATTAGTGGTGAGTGTCCCACAGACGGGCATGGTGCGCTTCAAGGGGCCATGCTGGGACACTAAAGCGTGTTGAAAACCTGTAGAAAAGAGAGTGAGGGAGTCCTTTACTGAATTAGGCTGTTCCAAAAACCAGGAGTGTTTCGGGGCCAGAAGAATGCCCCAGCACATTCCATTTGCCTATATATTTTTGTTTTCTTGGAATAAACAGCTTAGTATATGACTGTCCCTAACTGGCTGTCTTAGTTCTGTAACTTAATTGTGTAAAAACTGGCCCATGCTTCAGAAGGGCATAGCTTTATGGGTACGAAGGGCTGTGTTAGGATCTGACAGTGTGCCTGGACTGACACTGGCCGGAAGCAAGAGAAACCCTATGGGAACTAGGGGAGTGTTTAAAGTGGGCAGGAAGTGGCCTTGGTTAGAGCAGCTGCAAACATGTTTGCTCACCTTTTATCTAGTGCCAGCTAGACCAGGAAAGACAGAATGAGGCAAACGTTAGAGGGCAGAGGGCATCGTGGCAGGCTGGGCAGAAGAGCAAAGACGCCTCGTCCACGTGCAGCCCGCTCTGGCCATGCTTGTCTGGCTTCCTGAGCACAGACTAAGCTCTGTGCTCTACCCCACAGTGCCCCGGAAGAACCCCAGGCAGCGGGGACCCAGGCACACACTGACCTGCTGAACAGTTTATCCAGTTACAGGGACTCTGGTAGTCCCCTAGACACTTTGAGAAGGTTCTTGGGGGTGGTGGGGGCCAAAGTTTTATTAACCCTCTAGCTTGTGGTCCAAGATGTAGCTTCAGGCAAAGCCAACAGACACCTAAGTAAATTCATCCTTGGTTCCTGCCCCAGGCTGTACTGAGTCACAGCGGTTTTAAGAGCAGGCCTGGCCACACCTAGAATAGGCTGACAGGTATATTGACTGTGCTGATTTTTTATATCCATAAAGACAGGAGTCTTGTGCTTCTCCGGCCTCTAGGGACCCACGCTGCTCTTGAGGGGAAAATCCTGGATGCAGGAGCTGCATCTTGGTTATGAGGCCTGCCAGGGAAGTTCATTACGTTCTGCACCACTTCTGCCCCTGACACTTCATCAGGTCTGGACCCAGAATCTCATCCTACATCCTGGCCCTGCATTCTCTCCTCCCTTGTGGGACCTCTGTCACTGGATCTAGAAACCTAGATATCATTTATACGAACCCCCCTCCATCCTCATGTCTCCTCTGTCCCTCTGAAACATCTCAGTATGAGCTGAGGACAGTGTCACAGTTCATCAGCTTTACCCACACAGTGACTGGAGGGACACCTCCTCAGCTGGCCTACAGTCTCCGCAGCCTGTCACCTTGCTATGCTCCCCTCCTACTCATTCTGACAGTGGTACCAGAGCCTGACCCCAAGGCTCTCCCACAGCCCTGCTTGTTCCTCATCCCCACACTAGCTTAGACACTAGCTTTCTAGGGAAGACTTTTTACCTCCTTGCCCAGGTGCTTAGGGAGTTCACTGGGGGTGTTTGTCTCACTGAACAGTGTCCTGCAACTTGTGTTTGATGTACTTTGGGATATGCCTACCTACCCAGCAGAGAAGGAGCTACACAAGCGTCCCAGGTCAAGGCAAAAGTGGCCGGTGGCTCAGAGATAGGTAAATGAATGGAGGACTAGCATGATATTGGTGCCAGAAAGGAGGCAGCCGATTCCCATCCTGCCAGGTGCCCCGTGTGAAGCGAGGATTTCTACACAGTTGCCAGCGGCCCAAGAGCCTACAACTCTCTTCTTGACTGCTGTTATCCCCTCTGGACTCAACTGAGACTTCAGGGACCTGTCCAAGGCATTATGTGAACACAGGCTCTCCCCACAGCAGGCTGTCACTTGTTACTTGGCCTAGAGCCAGAACTGTATCTAGGATCCCCTCCTGCATAGGATCCACAAAGACTAAGTCTGTCTGAGTCTAAGCCCCGGTTGTTGGCCAATCCGATTGGGACTGGAAGTAGCAAATGCAGAAAACAACCCAGTTACGGAGTGAGCAGACTGATGTGACTGCCCACTCATGTGAAGTCAGTGAGTGTCCCTGCAGTGAGGTCAGGTGTGACCTGTGGGCTGCACAGGTGACACATGGACAGAGGCTCAGGGAGGAGGTCTGTAAGCACCCCCAAGAGCCGCTGCAGCGTCCACAAGCTGGCTAGAGCACCCCTGTGAGTCAGGTTCTACTTCATCAAAGACTTCCTGAGAAAAAACCGACCCATTCTGTCTCCCTGTGTGGCTCATCCCTAGTACTGGGTAATCAGATGGGATCAGCTATCACCTGGGACAGGGCTTTAGTGGGCAAGGCGAGAGAATCCATCTTCAGCTGCCCCTTGCTCCTCCACTCTTGTTGCCAGCCCAGAAACCCTTCTGGCAAAATCCTCTAGTCTGCAGTGATCTTTCTGCCAGTCCTCGGCGGGCACAGGCATAGTTTCGGTCTCCATTTGCACGGTTGGTGAAGGGGAGGAGCTGGGGTGACAGCTCCAGGAGCTCATAGGAGTAGTGCTGCCACAGTGATTCTCTAAAGTGAGGCCGCCTTGAGTCCCTTGGTCCTCCATGCTGCTACCCCAGATCCAGCTACTCTGGGGCTCTTCTGCCGTGCCCTGAAAGGAGGACCTTTCTGAGTGCTGCCACCTGCTCTGCCCTGCACTGGTTCCCCTGTCTGCATCCGGAAGCTGTGCTACAGCAGACACAGAAGGGACTGCCATGGACGCGGCTGTTTCTAAAGCTCTGGATAATTATTTTGTCTCAGGGAAGTGAAGGGAGGGTAAACAAACAGCACACATTAATTAGTCTGCTCTACACTTTCCTCATGAAAGAGGAGCGCTGCCGTTAAACACGAGAGGCTGGCAACTTCCCAGGGGTTTCAAGTGCTCACAGGAGTGGCTGTGGAAGGACGTGGCTGTCCCAGGCTCACACAGTCCAGGCAGGTGCTCGGCCACACCCTGCTTATCTCCCTTTTTTCTTGTGTGCACTGTCTAGGTGGGTCAGGCATGTGTCTGTGACAGGCACAGGTTCTGGCTTTGGACACAGGGCCCCATTCTCCACAGCAGTCCCTCTTCTCTGATCTGGGAGCTTTGCAAACAAGGCCTGTCGTGGACATTTGTGAGGGGGCAGCAGGTTCTTCCAAGGCCATGTATGCTGAGCTTTGGCACTTCAACCTCTTAGATTAGATGGATCATCCAGGGTTTATGCTAAGACTGACAGTCACCCTTGAGTTGGCCCCCTTTGGAAATCCATATAGTTACCAAGCTTACTAGAAGCCATATCTCTTTCTCTCCATACCATGGTCTATATAGTTGAGCTGAATACCCTCAGGTCCTCAGTCCTCAAGGATTGCAGCAGGATCCCCAATCCCTTCACTGTGAGCTGTGGGGTTATGACGAGGGGTATATGGGGCCTCAAGGCAGGACCCCTGGAAGCCAGCTCCCTGGGTGAGACCAGGCTTTCTCCTTTCACCTGAGTTTCTTAGTCTTGCACACAGCCTGGGAGTCAGGCTAGCCTAAGTAACACCTTGGCACTGACCATTAAATGGGGTAGCAGTGCCTACCTCTAGAGCTACCATCAAGACTAGAGGGACCTGGCAGATGGCCTGGCCACTCCTGCTTCCTTCCCTCCATTTCCTGAGGCCACCCAGTGTGTCACACCTTCTCTCCCCAGTTTGTGTTTTCTGCATTGTTAAGGGGATGACCTGAGCCTACCCACAGGACTGAACCAGAGTGCCTTGGAGTCTTCACAGGTGCCACTCCCACTGTTGGGGCCAAAGCCTTCACTAACTTGCCCCTCTCTGTGGCAGTGAAAACAGAGGGGACAGAGAGCTCTGTGGGTAACAGACAGATGCAAGTGGGAGAAGAACTTGGCCTAGGACTGTCTGAGAGCCCAGAAAACCCTCAGTCCACGTGGAAGAGGGAAGGGTGGAAAAATCCTCTGCATGGCCTTAAGACTATAGTCAAGCATTTCTGGGTAGACTGAGGCATCAAAGGCAAGGGGCTTCAGTGTGGCCATTCATACAAATTAACCTGCTAACACTGAAGACACCTGATTCCTTCCTGGTCAGTAACCTGTGTGACTAGTGCGTGGGAAGAGCTCTATTGCTGCTCAGAAGCTGGGGTTAAACCAAGGTCTCACCCTAAATAATGACATGTGGGCCCAGAGGCTGATCTTCCCTCACCAGTGCAGGGAATGCTTAGGAATCTGGTCAGGTTGTGGGAGGCAGGACTGTTCCCGTTGAGCATCAAGTGACCAGGCCACAGCATGGCCAGCTGTGCACAGGACACACCTTCATAGCAGCTCCACGGGGCCCAGTGGATGCTGACTATGAACCTGAGTTTCTCTTGCAGTGGGAAGGTGGGAAAGCCAGGTCAGTTCTGGGCAAAGCAAGTCCTGGCTCTGTGTGGAAGTGATGCCATCTCTGAGGGGTCTTTGGACTTTGGAGGGCTGGTACTCGCTCCGTTTGTCTTTGCCTGGGGTTTGTTCCTCCTTTACTATGCTGTCTTCTGACCCTCAGGCCTGTTGAGCCCTCTCTTCCTCACTATAAGCTTAGAGTCTTGGAGCAAAATATCCTACAAGTCTTTGAGTGTAAACAGGAGCTGGACCAAGCCTCAGGTTCCAAAGGAAAGGCCTGTGGATCACTCCAATCCAGTTACCCAAATGTGCCTGCATTCACCAGCGGCTGTGAGATCAGGCCAGCCCCTTCTGCCTAGATGCTGCCGTGGAGAAGTTGGCATGGCAACGTGAGCTCTGAGCTGCTGAAACTTGGAGTCAGCTCATTGCTAGGAGGACAGAAAGACTGACGAGAGACAGATGCTTTTCTGAGTTGGAGGAGGGTCTGGGAAGTTAGAACCCAAACAGAACTGGTGTTTGGGGTCTAGCATAAATACACAGGCTATAGCAGTGACTCCCTCAGACACAAGTAAATGCCTGTTCATACTTCTCAATCTAAAGCACCCAGCTCCACCTACATCCTCCTGCCCTGCTTCACCTCTCTGGCAGTGGCTGACACACTGCCCTGCCCCACTCCAAGGTGATGTAACAGACAGCCACACGAAGAGGCACCACAGTCCTCTGACAT